TATTTTTTGTAAATTTACAATACATGAAAATATGTGAAACAAACTCAGGTTCTCCATTACATAATACACACATTTCATTCCCTGTTATTCTTCCAATTTCTTGCTTTTGTTTTCAATGGCAAGATATCCCAGAGTAATTTATAGTTAAAATCAGTATTTTTAATAAGTAAACGAATAGCTCGCAGAGCCATGTGATTCATATGGAGCACAGAGCTATGATTGAGAGAGGCCGTGGTTCGCCATATATTTAGGCCTTCTTTTCGGCTTTCTTCTCGCCTTGGATAAATATGTAAATCCCATGTTATATCAATTAATAAATACATAAATAACCGCACTCCTCTCGGCGACTGGTTCATATTCTGTTCTGTAGATACGTTTTCTGTCTAATAGATATGCATTCCCAATAAGCATATGCTTATAGTTATATGCTTTCAGCGTACCATACTTTGAAACCCAAAACCAAATATGTATTGAAGAATTAAAGACCTCAATACGGCCAATTTCGCACCCGACTCGGCTGAAGCAAGGGATTTTGGCAGCGAGCAATGCGTTTTCTTAATATGCAACGAACCATTCAGCTGGACGACGTAAAAAAATGCAGGGAACAATGCCACAATGAGCAAATCTTTGCAAGTTTCCACTCATTGTATATATGCTCATTGATCTGACTGACATTTTTTGCAATGCATCGCATTTTTGATGACTTTCTTTCGACAAAGAGGTGGTCACATCATCCTGGTCATTTGCAAGACAGACTGTGTCTTCATTTTCACAACTATTTGTTCATTTTTATCGAATCTCTTCGTCCTTCAGCATATATTTCGATCAGTCATCAATGAACAGGGCTAGTTTTCGAGCTGTGATGCAGGAGCGTCGTCGTCGTTAAGCATCTAGTCTGAACTAAACCAACCGTGACGCCCGCCACTTGGAGGTGCAACATCTCTTTTGTTTGTTTATTATACGGCGAGCAGAGTTGGACAACTAGTAGTAGTATATATTTACGATTAAACAACCAACATCGCGCAATACAAATTACACGTACCGTAATTAACATTCGGCTCAGGGTATTCCCCGATTGATCGTGCTAAATTGAGTAAAAGGATAGAAAGAATGGCTTTGGTGCCGGTACCGTAAGATGCTACGGGAGGCGGACAACTCGACTACAGAGATTTCTATGAGTTATTTCTATTGAGAGTTGTAGGAGAATTACAGGATATCAAGTTGACTTTAGAAGGCAAATGTATATTAGTAAAATTAAAGGTGTTGCAGCAGTTTCTATATTTATCAAAAGTATTTCCGATGCCGAATTCTATAGGAAAAAGGGTGAATGACATGGTGGAAAAATTTGTATTCGATGGAAGAAGCATACTGAAAATAGGGAATTTGTGCGAGCCAAAAAATTTGGGGGGTTATGATATTATTAACATACCCATTTTTACAATGTGCATGTACATAATTAGTGTCTTGGAATATTATAAAGTTAGAGAATGTGATTATAATGAGGATTACAATCATATTTGTATGTCCTTTGTTGAATACAATATTGGACAACAATTTGGTACATTTTGGGGGATTAGAACTAAAAATACATGTTTACATAGATTTTGTCCTCAAAGTGAGTGTAGATTAATATTAGAATTTTTAAGAAAACATAACATAAGTAGTACGGTACAGATATAAAAGAAGGTATGCATAAAACTATTTATAAAAAAATTGTTATTTCTATGACTGGGGATAGATTGTAATTTAAATATTGCATGTGAGAATATTCATAATGATATTTTGGCAAAGTATATGAAAACCTTTAATTTCAAGTTAATGTGGGATATTATACCAGTAAAAGTGTGTGTTATGTGGAAAAGAACCAGAATTTGTTAGCCATCTATTTATGAGTTGTGAATATTTTGATTATGTTTTTGATTTTATGGAAAATACTGTTAGGAAATTAAATAATGCCAGACCAGAAAAATTATGAAACTTGTGTTTTATTGGATTTAAGCTATTTGTTACATTCCAACATTACAAGACGAGATTTAGATATTATTGTTTATTTAATTTCAATCACTAGATATAAAATATGGATACAAAAAAATTCTGTTATATTCGAAGGTAGTCCCCCTAATCAGCACCTAGTTATCAAACAAATGAAAACTGCAATCACTTACAGACTCAACATTGAAAAAAATAGAAAATCACCAAATTTTGTCAGAGAATTTGAAATACTAAGGAATTGTATTTGAACTATAAATCAAGTGTGTATAAATTTAGTATGTATAAAAATGAACATGTCTAATATATTTAATTTTTTACTTTTATTGTACATAATATAACTCAATATACTAAAAATTGATGAATTGTATGCCGATGCGATCAACACCTCGTCCTCAAACACTGATGGAATGGACATATGAAAAATAAATATTGGATTATTTATCTTATGATTGCTCGAATGGTTATATACTTTTTGTTATAATTTATTATATTATCCCATTGAAAAAAAAAAAAGAGATTTCTATTGAGTTGTTCGTCTTTCCTCATATTGCAAGTTGTTTGCTTAGAGAAAGGAGATAGACATACCGGTACAACAATACGCTGTGATCGCAACACAGCTGCATTTACAGAAATTGGGTCTGGTATAGTTTAGTACGGTACCACATGCACTTCTAGTTGGCCTGGCTCAACATTTTTTGCATATGCTAATCCTAACCCCCACCTGACTACCTTTACGTCATTTCGACGTCACATTGGCGTAATAAGGCCCACCAAAGGATGCGGGTCGTTTTCCCGTCATAACGATCACGATAGGAGAGAGATCGCCGGCGTTAGCAAGTTCGTTATTGGCGGCGCAGAACGAAAAAGTCAGGTGGGGGTTAGGAATAACATATTCAAAATTCGTTTTGATACGCCAACTGGAAGTAGGCCTAATTATTTATTAAAAACCCATCCTACGCGCAAAAAGAAAAGTGATGTGAAAAAAACAATTTTAAAATTAGCTCTTATGGGGAATGTGATCACCAGAGCAGAAATTGGCATTTTTTGTAATTTTCTAGATATCTTTCATTGTATACGTGAGCAGTTTTGACGATAGAATATTTTTTACATCTTTTTTGATATTTTTATCATAATAAACATGGTCAAGATTTTTGATAATCGTTCATTGAAATTTTAATGAGCGCACCATGTACCTATCCCAAAATTGGTGATGTTCAGGGCTGGATTTAGACCATGAGAGGCCACTTCATATCAGTTCACTTCATATTCATATCTGAGCTCAGAATTTCTCTCCAAACAACACCACATTTAATTGCTTAAAATTTAAAAATATGAGTACATTAAACTTTTCATTCTCCCCATCCGTGGGTGTGAATTTTTAATTAAAAGAATAAAAATTTACTTGAGGCAGTTTTGCTTTCAATTTCTCTGAGCAAACAACCGCTACAGCCATACTTTAACATAGAAACTTCCAGCAGAATGCGCATACCGGTAATAATAATATCCCTTATTATGATGCAAACGACGCAATAATGGCTGTTTACAGTGTGGTTGAAACCAGTTGTGTACAGAATTTTCTACTCTGAAAAGCTTGACATATATATGTACTTTTCGTAGAGTTTAAACTTGTCAAGTTTTCGAAAGAATTACAAACTTCGAAACCGAATTTCGAGGCTCCAGGTTTCAGCCTGCCTAGCCTATTGGTAAATCCAGCCCTGGTGATGGTCCCTACAGCAAATTTCTGGCCCTAATCACTCAGCAGATTGAAATAACTGGTTTTCAACATTTATTAGCAAAGATAGATATTTTAATTAAACATATAGTTCAACTCAAAGCCTGTATAATGATATTATAAATATATGTCCCATTATTACTGCATTGTGAGAAGGCTTTCCACACTATCAAGTCTATAAGGTTTTAGCGTCTTCCAATGTCTCAGATGGAAACTTCAGTCTTCATTTCGCATATTCTTTTCATTAATGCCATTAGCATTCGAAGCTTGACTGATTTCAATGTACCTTTTCCATTGTTGTTTAATGTAATATCCTAAACGTGACTTAAAATTGATTTCACTTCAATCATCACATGTTTGAATACCCGAGCTGACTTCTACTGATTTGTTATTAATTTACAATTTTTTTTTTTTTATAAATTAACTGTCGTACTTGCTAAGTGTCCACTAAGTGAAAATCTACAAAAAAAGCAGTGGTTTAATAATGGACTACATTTTTAACCGAATCCAAAAATATTCCGTAACTTAGTCAACCCTTCCTCCAAGGAGTTTTTGTTGAATTGTTCAAACATCCTAATTAACTGTTAATCTTCATAGCGAACATGGGCGGCAGCTGACTGTGATGGTTGTATCGCTCCCCAGTCTATACCGAATAACTGTGTGTTTTGTATATAATTTTTATTGATTCAATGCTTGTATTCTGGTTGACAAAATAAATCTCTCTCTGGTATTCAGTTATTTTTTTAAACCTAGATAGGAGACCGGTATTGTACCATTATATGTTGGAGATATTCATCTTTTTTGTATACTGGTACCGTACAACTTATCCTGCATATTGGCCAACATTTTTGTTCGTAGGCCTATTTCAGTATTTACTAAATAATTTTTAGTTTTCACCTCTTGCAGACTTGGTACAGTACCGGTAGTTTAAATAATACGTCAGCATGCCTTCAGTAAATGATTGCTAGCTGTACAGGTATAAATGCGTAAAACCAGTAAACAAACGTGATAGAAATGGTACGGGTTATAGATTGTCAATGTTAAACGCTTCCAATACCGGTACCGTACCCAAAGCGACATCAGCGCCACATTTGCAGCGCATATCCCACGAGCAAGACGCGTTGGCAGAATATCATGAAGTGTGTTTCCATGGGCAAGTTTACTAGAACGGACTAGGACGCAGTAGGACGCGCATTCCTTATATGGTCAACGATATGACGTCATGGCACGTCCTACTTCTTCACCGGGTTTTCGTCCTACTAGTCCTAGTATTCAAGACGCTTATACGTTATTTTCCGTTATAGCGACTTTCGATGTTTCTCGCAGATGACATTTTTGCGGCTTTTCTTCGTGGGGGATCCACATGGGTTTAAACTTGTCAGTTGTAAGTAATGGCATTGTAAGATGCGGTACCGTACCTCAACCTTCAAACTCACGATGGCAGATGAAGAATTAGTGTAAACGGTACGGTAGCAGACTAAACATTCAACGGTACCGGTACCGTATCTCTCGATAACTTTTTATGTAGACTAATGCTTACTTCTCAAGCCTGTATTCTTTTTATTTTGTATCACATATGCCGTATGGACAACCTATTGGACCATTAACTTATTTAATTTTCGTGAATGCTGTGATTGCTTCAACAACTGTTGGGTTAGTAGGATATCTTGATATACGGACACCAACAGTATCTACAATTTTTCGTCCAAAACATTGGCAGATTTAATACTAGACAAATACAAGTGAGTGAAAAAATTTATACATACTGACATACCGGTAGCTTACTAGGCTATAACCATTATTCATTTTTTTTATTTGTTTGTATATTTTTCTTTTTACTGAGTAATTTATTTGATTTCAAGTCTGGCTTTTTCAACTTCCAACCTTACCATGTCTTGATTATTGTATGAGTGTGTGTGCTTTATTTATTTTTTATATACTTTTGGGTGAGCGAACACGTACTACTTATTTTTATCGATACCTTTCCATCTAAAATTTGTACGCTTCAAAACTTACCTAGGTTTTGTTTGCTCTCCCGATTTTTTTTTTTTTTTTTTTATGTATTATTTTATCGTCTACTGCTGATTATGGAGTCGAAATAAAGTTATACTTATACCGTAGCTGGTATAGCCTATCAAATGAAAATTTTTGCCACAGCTATCTTGTTTTGATTTGAGTTTTGCTTTCTAAATGGATTTTGTTTTTATATTTGACTGTGCATATTTTATATAGATTTTGTCAACTATTTTGTGTGTCTTTGTTTGTAAAAAGCCACTGTTAATATGTTATTATTTTGTTTTGCATATTTCTGTTTTATTGTTCTCAAGTCAAACTTGTAAATGTGTTTGTTCACTGACTGTTGTATGTGTTCAGTTTATCCCTATGTCAGTTTTGCTTTCTGATTGGATTTTGTTTTGATATTTGTCTGTGCATAGTTTATATAGATTTTGTCAACTATTTTGTGTATCTTTATTTGTAAAAAGCCACTGTTAATATGTTATTATTTTGTTTTGCATATTTCTGTTTTATTGTCCTCCCCGTCGAACTTTCAAATGTTTTTGTTAACTGACTGTTGTATGTGTTCAGTTTATCCCTATGTCTGTCTAATTTATTTTTCCCATCTATATATGTATTTTGTTGTTGCGCATCCAATCATGTTTCTGTGTTATTGTGCTTCTATGTCTAGTTTATTTTTTCATGTTTTGTGTGTCAAATATATACATTTTGCAATAAGAAAAAATTGCTTCCTCATTAAACCAGTTGTGTACAGATTGGCAGGGCAAAGTTAGATGGTATGATAGTTGTCATATTGAGGAAAGGGAATTGATTTTTATTTAGAATGTTCAGTTGGTCACCAGAAGCGACATTCGACTTGATCGATGCTGCTAAGCAGGTTAAGCTGGTTGAGAAAAGCGACAGCACTGCGGTTAGAAATGTTGTTGTGATGAAGGAGGTGGCGAGAATGCTAGTGGAGAAGGGATATCGCGATATGGACGTGTAAGTTTGCCACGAAATATAAAAATGTTAGCCTGGTTTATATTAGAAGTGAATTTTCCACACTCGCTACAAAAATAAGTGAAGATTTTTTCATGTTGCTTGAATAGTGTTACTGTGAAGAACAAGTGGAAGCGATTAAAGGCAAAATATAATCATATTAGAACAAAAACGTCACAATCTGGAGAAAGTTCTAGGTCTGCGTTGAATTGGCCATATTTTAGGGCCATGCATGAGCTTCTTGGCTCCAGACCAAGAGTGCAGGTGAGTGGTTAAATAATTTTGAAGCTAGCAAGTTTTGTAATTTTATGATTTTCATGTTTTACACTGTTTTATTATTTGCTTCTACTCAATTTTTTTATCGCCGTGATTGATATTTGAATAATCATTTATTTATATTTTCAGGCCTTGGCCTCCATGCATTGGTGTTGATACAGCGAGCCGTCAATCATGCGAGACCATAGGTTTCGACGAAACCATCGCTCAGTTTTGTGGGCTGAAATAAGTAGGGTACAGTAACAGGATCTTATGCAATGAAATAGGTGGAAAGGGTTGGGTGGCATCATCAAACACTTTTTTTAACTTAATACATTATTTTATAGTTGAACAATCCAGATAGCAGTCTCCCTGGCAAGGAAGACTCGGAGGGCGAGTATGCAACAGGGACCTGCCGCAATGGTTTGTCGAAGAGTCGTTATAATTTTTTTATGTTTATGATTAGCGTATCCAAACCAAATTATGGTTTGTCTGCAATGTATTTATAAATCGTTTTAATACTGCTTCATCTGCAGTTTTTTAATGTATTTTGAATCATTATTAAAATCACTTTTATACCACAGTTAACCTTTTTTAGTTGCAATAATTAAAATACTTTTATTCATATAAAAATTGATCAAAATGAGGCTTTCATTCCGAAGTTTACATTTAATAGATATGTATCTTGCACTTAGTAAAACACAGTTTATACCTTGGTTTTACATGATAAAAATTTTTAAATACGATTGCATGTCATTATAAGATCAGAAAAGCTATAATAATGAAAAAAGTTGGAAAACATTACAATTTGCTGTTTAGAATCACAGATGTCTTCAATAAATGGAATTTTTTCTAATCCAGAATGCTTTATCTTTAGTTGATGAAAGTGTCAGCCATGCTCCACCAACTTCAAGCCAGCGAGGGCAGGAGGAGACAGAGTAGTAGAGAAAATTATGGTTAGTGGCAACCTAGATATATAAGAATTACTAGCTGATGGCTCATCATAGCTGTTACTGATGTTCTTATTTTATAACTCTCAGATTCCAGAACTGAAGCTCTGTTGAGAGTATTTAGGGAAGAATCTGAAAAGGATAGGCTTGCCTTTGCATCAGCTTTGGAGAATTTGACAAATAAAATATTGAGAAACTGTAATAATTATGAATTATTTATTCAACTATACAAGGAAAAAATTGAACAGAAATTAACCAAATGAACAAAATTTAAAAAAATAACAAATTAGTCACACACGTCATAGAGTTCAAAAAGGTAGTCGGCAATGACCCCTTGGGCGTTATTATTAGCCCCTTCATTTTCGGATGCCAATAGTTGGAGGTTGTGCTCTTCATTTAAGGGCTTCCTTGGCACTGGCGCTTGTTCTGTTTCGCAGATATTGTGCATTATGCAACACGCTGCAATGAATCTTTGGGTGCCTCAGCGACTCTAACATCCAGCCGACGAAGGATTCGCCACCTGGCTTTCAGCCGGCCAAACAGTTTTCGACTGTTACGCGCACCTGCAGAATAGCTCATGCTTAGTTTGTTATAACGAGTGTGTTTGAACACATAAAAGTGCCTGTTTACCTGCTATGGTGCTCATGTATATCTCTCTTGCCTGGGCGTGAGAGAAGACCCAGTGTATGGGCGTAAACAGCCATGGTAAGAGGGATACGCGCTATCACCCACGATGCATAAGGGCACTGGATACCATTAATGGTGATCTCACCCTGCCGCCAGAATACAATATTTAGTAGTAATCAACATAATTTTTAGAGTCTGGAATGCTCAAGCTTTCTTACCGAAGGGAGCATTTCAGCATTCTTATATAGTCCAGAAGCCCTCAAGACTGTGGCATCATGAACACTGCCCGGGCATCTTTATACTGATGTCTCTGAATCTGAGATTTAAACACTAACAAATAACATACAGAATGATATCAAAATTTTATCTTTTATTGCACAGACATGAACAAAAAACAACACAACAAATATGACATTGATTGCACATACAAAAGAAGACAGTAAATGGACATAAGACATAAATGTGATTGACTTGAACAAAACAAAGTCTTAGTGCACACAAAACTGTGGTGTAGTCGCATTGATGGCAGATGATATCAAAATTTAGCTTTTATTGCACGGACATGAACAAAAAACAACACAACAAATATGACATTGATTGCACATACAAAAGAAGACAGTAAATGGACATAAGACATAAAATGTGATTAACTTGACAAACAAAAGTCTTAGTGCCAACACAAAAAACTGTGGTGTAGTCGCACTTTATAATTTTGCACATTCAACACATAACAGAAAAACCCGAAAGTAATAGAAAAAACCAAAATGTAATGAAATAAATCAATTGATACACTAGCAAAAACTTTAAAAAATGGATACCTGTAGTGATTGTCAGCTACAGCCTGTAGGACTATAGATGGGTACATCTTTCGATTCACATAATCTCTAAACCCAGATCTTGGTGGTTTTACATGAATGTGGCTCCCATCTATAGCCCCGAAACATTGTGGAAACCCAGTTAGTTGCTGATTGGCTGCTGCGATTGTTTTTGCTTCAGCAGCGGTTGGCAGAAAAATGAATTTTCTTTTGGTGCTTGATCAGACATTCACAAAATCTACTCAGATATGGATAAATGAGAATACAAGCAATCATGAGAGTGAAACTTCAACTATTGGTGAAATATACATACCTGTGCAAATACCTGTGAACAGATGTTCGATGTACCCCAAACATGTTACCTGTGGTTCTGAATTCTGCGGTTGATGCCAATTGGTATATTGCAATTGCTATTCGTTTGTCTAGTGAGAGTGGCGTACGAACACACCTTTCGTCTACATAAAAAGAATGCACAAAATTAGTAAACATATTGAAGGAGCCTGAAACTTTATGCAACTGTAATTTATGTCTTCAACGTTATGTAGTTTGCATTGCTAAACATAAGATAATATCATTAAATAAATCATTACCCGGCTCTAAATCGTCACGCAATTAACGTTGTTAACTGGAAAATGTTTCTCTTCTGATTTCTAAAATTCGACAACCATTCTTGTTCACCGAAATTTTTAATGCATTTAGCCACCAATCATTGCCTGAAAAGCATATTGTCAAAATTTTAGCTCATATGTTACTGCTGTTATTGTACAAATAAGTATAATTAAATAAGTGTAAGTTTATTTCGACTCCATAATCAGCATAACAATAAATTGATTGGTAAAAGAATAAATAAAAACTATTTATGAAATCAGGAGAGCAAACAAAACCTTAGAAAAGGTTAAAACGTACAGAATGTATACAAGATGGAAGGTTTTGCCAAGACGAAGTGGTACGTGTTCACTCACCTAAAAATAATGGAAATATTTCACACACGCTCACAACCAAACAGAGGTTATAAATTACATATGGGTAGTTAAAAAAATTAATGAAAATTACTTGCCACACCATATTATTAAATTTACAACTTTTGCCACTGCCGAATTGATCGATTTTGTAAATGGAAGTGAACAATAGAGATAAACTTTTATTAAAATATATTGCCAAGCTGATTACAGTTAGAGGCTAAATAATAGCTAGAGGCTATTACTGCAAAATTATAGTCCAGATTGTAATAAGTATTTAAAGGTACAAGTAACAGTATAAACTAATTAAGGTAGGATGACGGGAAATAGGAATATGTTGGTTACCAAGGTTATAAGTAAGGTTGTTTTTTCAATCTTAGATATTGACTTCTGCAAGGACAAAGGAATTAGGATTGTTATTTTCACAGGATCATTCCTTCATTTACTTAATGTAACGCAATTGATATCAATTCAAATTTATCATAGATGAGAAATCAGGCTGCCAATTTTGATGACGTAGATCTGATATTGATTGAAAGAGTCATGAAATCACTTAGTTTAAGACTATCATTGAATTTGAGGTCACTGACATCACTAGAGCAAATATATACTGCAGTACGGTACTGATACGAGTTGTTGTCAGTACACACTAAATTTATGCTCCATATAGGCTAATATATTACCCACGGTGCCATTATAATTTAAAAACTTACTGTAGTTTGTTTTGTACATGCCTATATATAGAATAAAAGAATTACCGGTACTCCATCCATATTTTTCTCGGAATTCTTTCAGCTCCCCACTGAGTTAACGCCAGCAACGTCCTAGACCGCCTTATTCTTCTGGTGTGCAACCATAAGACCAGCGCCTGCACCGCGAAAAAAAACGCTAATAAAGTCTTCGCCCTGTCCATATTCAAATTAATACTATGATAATGATACCGAAGAGAGAAACCTAAAGACAAACTCGGGTAACAGTAACAGCTTTATACGAATTGGGGAAATCCCAACAACAAAATATTTACAGCGGAGATCACTCAGGCTGAAAGAAGATGACACAAATCAACCCATCCAAGCGTGTAGTTTTACCCACAATGCAACTCATTTCCGAGATCACGATTACATGGAAACAGGTCGCGATTTCGTGTCCTAGTCCGCCCTAGTAATCCCGCCCGACTGCGTCCTAGTAAACTTGCCCATGGAAACACACTTATGGTCTAGTGAGAATGACGTCATCGGAAACACCGCGCTCATTAAAATTTTAATGAACGATTATCAAAAATCTTGACCATGTTTATCATGATAAAAATATCAAAAAAGATGTAAAAAAATATTCTATCCTCAAAACTGCCCACGTCCACATTGAAAGATATCTAGAAAATTACAAAAAATGCAAATTTCTTTTTTTTTTACATCACTTTTTTTTTGCGCGTAGGATGGGTTTTTAATGAATAAGGTTATTGTGGTACGGTTCTGAACTATACTGGACCCCAAAAATTTACTTACCAGGTACACGACTTGCAGTCAATCATATGACAGGTAGATGTCGCAGAATAAAGCAGCCTGCATTTAATCCATACTACAAAAATGATTTGTTTGTTGAAAATTAATTCTTGCCGTTACCGTAAAAGCAGGTACCGGTAACTTCGGAGGGCCTGTAACTTCGAATGAAAATTTTAGTTGTTAATATCCCGACTAAATTGCGTCATATTGTGCTTCTGGCAGTTTCTATAGTGAGATCTTATATATCTAAATCTGTTATCATATTCAATCGCGCAGTTTAATTTAGTTTTTAGTAAAAAAAATCAAGTTTCAGCATAAAATTGA